AATAAAATTGTATCTCATCAAATAAAATAAAGAAAAATGAAATAATGGTGCATAATTTCTAGAATGGCATGATGATTTTTGTTCATATTCCGCACGCAAACGTGTTGTACTTATATGCATATATCATATCAATCATCATGATGATTACCCCCTTATAAATTAATATATGATTAAAAAAAAAATTGATCGAGTAGCACTGAGATCTAGCAAAAAAATGAAAAAGAGTCTTATAAACAATAATGGTAGGATGCCACGAGAAAGCAAAAAAATATAAAGATAGTATTATAATTATAAGAAAAGCGAGCATGTTTGATATATCTAGCCTTAACCCTAATTATATCACTTTTCCATGTAATTTATTAAGTACTCCATCTATATTCTATCCTGCATAATTACATAGTAGTAGCTTACTATTTAATATATTTCTTTTTATGGGGTGCTTTGACTTTTTTTGATGAGATGTGTGAATAAAAGTGCATTTATAGAAGAATCAATCATATATTTATGGCATTATTTAATGTTTTGGGATTAGTTGACACTCAAAATTAAACAAGAAATGAAGACATTAGGAGAAAAAAGAAGAAAAAAAGGGATTTTGTTGATGATATTGATAATAGTTGTGGAACTATTACATCCATCATAAAAAATCATCATCATCATTAATATTATTTAATTATTTACGAGTAGTATGGAAATGCATAGGCACCTACAAAAAACAAAAAAAAAAAAAAAAAAAAAAGGTACACGTGGAGGCTTTTACGTGAAGCAGCCCATTTGCATGCCTTTCTATTGTAAAGTTTATGTATGTAGCAAGATCTTCTTCGTCATGCTTTCGAATGTTTACACTCATCAACTAAAATTCATTCATCCAATAATCTCTTTCTCTGTAGCATACGCACTTAGTCCGTACGTTACTAGATGCCTTAGATTGCTTAATCTATGGTTGGCCCCTCCCATCTATCTCTAGGATCTCTTATTCTCTTCCGTCCCACCAATCTTGTCTTAAATAGTTAAATAACGAGGAGTTATAAGGTTTTACAGTATTATATAAGGTTTTACTACTAGTATATAAATATTGATTACGGGGTATTTGGTGTTTTGGTTCACTTGATTTGTTCTCATTAGTAAAAGAAAAAAAAACATTAAATCTCGTAGTATAAATATTAGATTGAAGCTAATTATCAAATAAGATCAAAATATATGTCTTCTTTTCTTTTCATGGAGTTTGATTTTCAGTGATATTCTAATGAGTTGTTTCTATCAATGTAACCAACACACACCTTCTTGAACCAAAAGGAAGGAAACAGAAGAAAAAGAGAGAGAGAGAGAGAGAGAGAGAGAGAGAGAGAGAGAGAGAGAGAGAGAGAGAGAGAGAGAGAGAGAGAGAGAGAGAGAGAGAGAGAAAGAGACCTATGATTAATAATTAATTAGCCATTTTATGCATAATGCTCTTTGATGTTTTATCTTTGAAGTAAGATCATCAAATTTTTTTAGTCTCGGCTCTCTATTAACCGATTGATGAGTGTATTAAAATATCTCATTTAATTTAGGTTGATAAGTTTATTAGCTGTTGAATATTCAATCTAAATGATATATAAAGTATTAGGGCTTCATTAGTTTGTTGGAAAGATGGATTAACTCTTATGATATACAAAGTATTTTCTTTGTTACTTTATTATTGTAGTTTTTGACTTTTATGCTCTTAACAACTGGTAACTTTGACAATTAATATTTTGTATACTCTAATATCTAAATACAAAACTTTAAGTTTTTGGAAATCTATAATGACATTAATTGATGTATATGAGTATATATATTTATATTTGTAAAATTATATAGAGTAGTTACAAACACCGGTATATAAATAGTATGAGCAATAGTATGAGCGTAAAAATCAATACAAAGCAATAATAAAAGAAAAAGAGGAAGTACAATATATATGCAAGAGCTTCGTCCCTTATTTACTTAAGTAAGCATAATATAAAAATTAACAATCTTATTTAAGGGGTAGTTAGTACTGCGAAGTAGTACATAACGAGCATGGAAATAAGTTGGTTTGCGTAAGATGACCTATTAAATGTACATTGATGACATTGCTTAATTGTATAGAAAAGATAAAAAAATGTAAGGTAGATGGGAGAAATTAAGTGAGATGAGGGATGAAAAGACAAGTTGGTATCATATGTGGAATTAGATTGACCCTTGGCAAAGTTCTAGGGTTTCTCATGAATGATAACTACAACGTGAATACGACGTGCATGGAATTTTTCAATTAAAAATATGAATGACAATGAATGATGTATAGTGTATACCATGAAAGTTAGGTTTTATGTATGTATTGTTAGATGTTAGAAAAGGTTGAAGAAATTTACAAGAAAAAGGGTGACAAAATCTTTTGCCGATTCCTCGCCGTGCTTTGTGGATCCTATTATCTACTTTTATACATACTCCATTCAGAATTTCAATTTTTAAGATTAGACTTTTTTTTGGGAGAAAACTTCACTAATATAGTATCCTATACTATTTGGATAATTTTTCTTTGTCTATTATTGTTAATTTTAGTAGATATAAGTGGAAAAAACTAGAAAATAATACAAAGTCCTCCGTATTTGATAATAAATTTCTCATTGAGACCGTGAAAAAAAAAGCCCTATTAAATTGTGAGTATGACGTTTTAGATTAGGAAATTAATATTAAACTAATTTTGAGTGACCTTTAACCTATTTTTCATTATCTTTGTGTATCAAGAAGTGATTTTTTTAAGGAACAAAAAATGGTAAAATGATTATCTTTAAAATGATAAATATTGAAAGAGGATAACTTTATCAGTAAAACAAACCGATACATAGTATCTCTAAATTATTTTAGAATAACTTTATATCTGCCTTACTATATACATTGTACGCCTGCCTTTTTTACGAGTTTGTGTAAAGGGATAGAGAAAGCAATAGTGTATGCACATAACATAATGTATGTGAGTTATAAAAATGAAAAGTCATAAGAGATGATGATTTTGGCTTACGAGCAAAGTATGGGTGGGACATGTAATGATTAAAACTCGGGCAAACTTTTGATCGTGGGATGGCCGGCAGATTAATACTCCACTAAGTTTAGTCTATCGTATTGTGATAATATATATGTGATTACCCTAATTATTCAATCGTATCTTTTAATTAAGCAGCTGACCGCTGACCGTAGTGCTTTGCCTCGTCTTGTCGGGAGAAAATTAGACTTTTTTTTTTCAGGATCATCAACTATTATAACTTTAGGAGATCACTTCTTTTTTTATGATGATTTTGACGTCGACAAAACAGTATTTTTAGCTAAAATAATTTTAGCATGAATGACGTAAGTTTGTCACAATGGTGACCTCATTACTATGCAGTAATTATGTGTGTGTGTTTTTTTTTTTGATTGATCATGTTTATAGTATTGTTAACGTCAAATAAAGAGCACAAGTAGTGTGTTTGGCTTTAATTGTAGAAATGGTGGTGTTCATTATCAGTAGTAGTTGAGGTGGTACTTGCCTCCTAATTTTGGGTTATTCTTGTTTCAAAGTAACAGTTCTCATTAAAGGACAATACTGAGTACATATATTGACATGGAACCTGCAATGAACAATAGGAATCAAACAATTTAATTACTACGGAGTACTTTGTGTCTGATGATTAAGGTTATGCGGTGATTTGTTACATTCTATTTTTTATTACTTTTTATCTTTAGACATTAGACTACACATTACACGCCTGGTAAAATACTTTTAACGTGGAGGTAGTATCATACAATCCACAAACTCGTTAAATATATGTGGCAGAATAAGACACTTCCAATGTGAGTAATAGTAGAAATTTAAACCATTATACAAATTAAGTTGACTATTTTAAACTAATACAACTAGCAAAGTAATTCTAATAATGTTGGCACATAAGGGGAAACTAGTCAATATTGAATATTACCTCCTTCCAGAATTGTAGGCCTACACACTCAAAGTTATAGTGTGTGAAAATTTGACTTTTGAATTCGTTGTAAGAACTGAGAGAACTACTTTTGGTTGATTATATTTTATAGCAGGGGGTAATAGAGCTTAACGGTCAAAGTCATAAAATTATAACCATAATTAATAATAATCCATCGTTAAGTACATGTGTTCTTAGACTGATATCGGTAATAAATAAGGGTAATCAACTATAGTTTTACCCTATGTGACCTGTGACCATCTTCTAGAGGGGTCAAGATAGCACACGACACTTACGTGATCACCTCCTGTTAGGATTCTCTCCAATTCTTTTCTTACCTATAATTTTCCAATAATCTAAACATTATTAGAGCACTTAAATCTTAATTTTCATCATTTTTTCTGTCATACATAACAAAAAAATCGAGACTTTTTCATTCTCATTTTCTTAAATATACTAGTAGAAGAATAATACAAGTACTATTTATAGAATAATTGTTTTGGTCTAAAGAATAATCCTCTTATTGAATTGACATTTAATTAGTACAAGATGCTCATATTCTCTGTAGGATTGTTAATAACATAATCTATTTTAACAAGGCAATATAATATATACACACCATATAGATATAGTATGACTTTCCCTGAACTTGGATAACTAATTCATCCATAGGCTCTTATGAGTACGACTTAATTTGTTTAAAGTTGACAAATTAGTGCTAATTCACAACTAACACTACTACTCATCTTAATTCTTAAAACTGTCACTTTAAAGCGGATTTCATGGAGATTATGAAATTGATAATGTATAAACTATAAACTATTATTCTTTAAACCTCTTTTCTTAATCTTAAAACTTTCAATATCTATCATCTATCTGTCACAAACAAGGAATATGAATGAAAAGCACGTACCATCTGTTACATATATCTATATTAATTAATTTTAGGACAAAAAGAATAATATTTATTGTTAAGAATATTATAATATATGATATTTATTATATAATAACTAATAAATTATGCATGGGAATGTATAAATGCAGGTAGAGATAAGGTGTAGAGGGCAACAACTAGTACCATACTTGACGTTGCAGCATGTAAGAGACAATATTTGGAGTTCAAGAGACGCGGCTGTGACGACTGTGACATTACTTCCTGACTCCTCAACAACTGATCACCTCATGGTTTTGAATTATGGTAGAAGTACTTCTTCTTCTTCTACGTACCTAGCTACCTCTACCTAATTAATTAATTAATTAATTATGCTTAATTATAATGCTAGGTTACTAAATTACTTCTACGAGATTGATCGATTAATCGATAAATTATGGAGATTCTTATTTTTTTAATCTCTCCTTATTCATTAACCAACCCACCAACATCTTGTATCAATATTATTGTTGATCAATTAAATTAATACCCTTTAATTAGGAGGGGGAAAAAAAAGGGAAAAAAAAAGAAGTTTTCTCTAACAGTTCCAATGTAATTTTCCTTCTTTGCTTAGGTTAAGTTGTAGGATGAATTAATTAACTCCCAAATTAAATACCCCATTATGGTATGTGTTTTTGGCATTTGGGGTCCCTTGTAATTGTATAAAACAAATTTTATTGTCCGATAATAGGACATTTTATATATTCTCTTTTTATACTTTCCCTTATTGAATAATGTTATCTTGTATGTATGTGCTTATATATCTATATAATTGTTTATGTAATTAGTATTTGATTTGTGTAAGGAAAGATGTATGGAATGCATACATTCTTGCAAAGATAGGGTTGGTAAATGAACTTAGTGGAGTTTAGTTTTAAGTTGAAATATTTGTTTGAGCATGGCTTGAGTTCAAACTAACAATTAAATTACTTAAGCTTGGCTCATCAAACATTTAAACTGTCAATGTTATTTAAGGCTTAGCATGTTGGCTTGTTTGCAATAATCTCACATTTATAAGGTCAGGGGCTACTCGTCCTAGTCATATAATTTTGAGATGCAATTGTGTTAGACTTGTGAAGTGAACTCTCTGGTCCTGTATGTAACTTAAAGGAAGGAAAAAAAAAACCTAAAAATAATAATATATTCTACTCCATTGTTAAATAAAATACAGAAAACAATGTTTATGAAAAAAATACAAAGTATGTGGATATGTAGTGGTTAACATGCATCGAAGATTCGAAGCCATGCAAGAGAAAGGCCGGAGCACCGAGTTATACAAGCTAAGCATTGTTTAGCTTAAACTTTCAGCATCATTAAAGATATGAAATCTTTACATAATCAAATACGTAGTATCATATTAATTGAATAATTAAGCAATTAAGGGGAGGTTTAGAGGTTAAGTGCATGAACTTGGCTTCATTCTCATAAAAATATTACTAATCTTCAACGCTGTGATATGTCACTTTCCAGGTAGATTTCATCGTATCTCCAATTACTGCATCAAACTAAAATTTAGTACATTCCATGGCATTTGACTTATCCTCTTTGTTCATTATTTTTATCATATAAGTTAATAATATATAGTTTGATGAGTCAATTACCTCAAAACCAATTCAAGACAAATATCAGAATTATGCTCTTTTAATACGTATATTTGTAAATTTGGCAGTTGTCAAAGTTGACCTTTTTACACAACAAAAACAAGTCAACTGATTTTACCAGAAACAAAAGTCAATTTCCAGGAGGAGAGATCAAGGTAAGTAATATTCATTTGAATTTGTTTAAAATAATTAATTGAACTGTTCTTTTATGATGGTCAAGGCTGCGAACTCCAAAAGCTTGAGGCAGCTAACATTTTTCTCTTGCTTGATGATAATACTAGGTAGTACACTTGGTGGGGAACATTAGAGCTCATTTGCCATTCGGTAGCTAAATAGGATTGAACAACAAACTCCGAGAAAATACAAGTTTCTCTCAGTTATACACAAAAACTGTTTATCCCATGACATTTCGTAAATAAATCAACAACTTTTTCATTAATGTGGGCTCCACAATTGATGGTGATTGGATAAAGTTATTGATTTATTTACAAAAATGTCATGTTGATAAACAAATATTATTTGTCACTGAGAGTAACTGAGGCAAGCTAGCAAACTCCGGGCTAGCTGTATTGTTTGATGCATTCCCCCAAATTATGACGGAGTATTACTTTGGCGAAGCTTGATTTACACCAGGTGATAATCTACTAACTTAAAAAGAAAAAAAAAATACAAGTAGGTCTTTTTCTCCTTCCTCAACCATGAGATAAGGCCGAATAATCAGATGTTAAGGACTGTTGTTAATGTTCTACGGAGTATTTGCATTTTGAAGACCATGTTCATCATGTATCTGAAATCGATCCATATCAAAAATCAAGGCAAGGCCCTGGAAGTAATTCCTGGGCTACTCTTACTTGGGCCTTGTCTTTCAAGCTGACGAAAAAGGGCTACTCTTACTAATAAGAAAGGCCCATTACACTGCAAGTTCTTCTAAAAACATGGAATGCATTAACAATGAGTTTCCAGGTCTCTCCATCTAGCTACTCAAAACTCAAAAGAACCTCGTAAATGTTACTGAGACACCTTAGAATTCAAAAATTCGAAAACCGTCAGAACAGTTGCAGCAAATTGATCCAGAAAAGCTAGTCTAACACTATACAGTACTCGTAAATACAATAAGTGAACTACCTGAAGCTATATATATAGAGTAGAAAACAATAAGCACATTCCATTCCTTAAATCCACGAACAAGGCTGCCATGACAGTATGACACTATATATAGTGGGATAATGGATTCAAATCACAGAACCTTACCCCAGATTAGTAAGATTATCATCAAAAAGCCAATTGATTGACCTACTACTTAACATCACACCACAGGTAGAGTTGCTTCAGCACGTGTATCTAATGCCTAAAGAGTCGCACAATAATGAATTTCTGAAGTGTATGTTGAAAGAGATGAGAAAAATATATGTGAAAACAGTTAAGCAGAGAAATCTTTGTATTGCTGGTTCTAAGATAAGAAAGAACGTAATTATGAATCGTACAAACTAGATACCTATTCTATTTTTCACAACTATATAGCCATAATCAAGTATGAGTAGAATAAACTGTAAGCTAATCAGAAGCATTAACACAAGTACATTATGAAGTGAATTGCATGCACATATGATTTACACAAAGGAATGTACCAATATTGACCATCTCCATTGGTGAGACTCAACTTTAAGTATTGAAATACAAAATGAGTTGTTTTTTTACCTCCAATGGTGATACCCAATCCACTTCTCAATTTAGCAACTCGTGTGAAGTCTAATTTCCCAATGGTGAGACTCTCTAAAATATACTAATGTCACTTTCAATTTATGGCCCACCAAATCCATATTATAAGTTTTTCAAAAAAAAAAAAAAAAAAAAAAAAAAAAAAAAAAAAAAAAAAACCTTAAATAAATTATAATATTAATAAAGGGCCCACACTTTTTGTCAAATGAGACTTAATTTTGAGTATCTAAACTTAACAACTTTCTTTTGGAGTTGCTAAGTTTAGATACCAACTTATTGGTATCCTTTGCAAAAAATACTCTCTCTCCTAAAATAACTCCTTAAAGTCTCACCATTGGAGATGGTTTAACAAACATAGAACATTGCATGCACCTCCCATTATTGGCAGCTAAAAGAACCATATACCAAGATTTTAATAAAGGTATGGGACTAATTACCTTCAATGACAAGCAGCTTGGATAACTGATGTAAATGGTTCCCATAGAATTAGCTTGTGCTCAATTTTGAAACAATAATCTTTTAGAAGGATCAAATCATGCATTGATTCATCTTGGACAACATGCAAAACAATATGAGCAGAATAGACAGTGTTTAACTTTAAGGATGCTGTTATCTTTTATCATTTCGACTAAGAAGACAATGAGCAACAATCTTTAGGATTAATAACTATACTCGGTCTATCAAAGGTAAGAGGTAGCATCATTGTCCTAAATTAAGGCATCACAGAGAACTTTGAAGAAGATCTTCAGCATATATCTTTTATCAATTAGGACTAATAAGTAATAAGACAATGAGCAACAATTTTCAGGAATTATAACTATACAAGGTCTATCAGAGAGGTAACTGTCCACTAACAGCCTCATTGTCCTAAATTAAGGCATCACAGAGAAGTTTGAAGAAGATCTTCAGCATATATCTTTTACCAATTAGGCTAATGAGACAATAAGCAACAATTTTCAGGATATATAACTATACTAGGTCTACCAGAGGTAAGAGGTAATTTCCACTAGCAGCTACAATGTCCTAAATTACGGCATCACAGAGAAGTTTGAAAGAAGACCTTCAGCATATATCTTTTATCAATTAGGCTAACAAGATAATTAGCAACAATTTTCAGGATTTATAATTATACTAGGTCTATCTGAAGTAAGAAGTAATTGTCCACTAGCAGCTATGTTGTCCTAAATTAAGGCATCACAGAGAAGTTTGAAGAAGATCTTCAGCATATATCATTATATGATATGAGATAACTTTTCCCCTTGCATACTTACCCAAAAAAAAAAAAAAAAAAAAAAAAAAAAAAAAAAAAACTACATCCTCGTTGCATGACCATACAACTAAGAAACGATTAGAGAGCATAATGTCCAATTGGAAGCCTTTTAACTAATAAGCCGAGAGAAAAGAAAAGAAACCACAATTAAAAAAATAAAAAATAACTTGACCATACAAATTACATATGCACTCATGATACATTTGACAATAGGCAGCAGGCACTGCCCAAAGAATTGAAACTCAAATATCGTGTTTTAGACAGTTTTGTTGATGGTAGGCAGTCTTGCACTAAGGTATCATATAAGGCACAGCACCAAGCAGCAGAATTAGATCCTCTAGGAAGGCAGAGTATACGAGTTCTGCATATAGCAATCGGCATTTCATAACCTACTTCTGTGCTCAACTCAAGGGCAATATAAACAGGTAAAATCATTCATCACAATCATTCAGAAACATACAGAAGAGTTTATTGTATACTTTGTACCAGATATCTCATTGCACCAAAAATAAAAAATGCAGCATATGACATTGTCATAAGCTCACAAATCATAACTCACAAACATCAAGTGGGCATGACATAACCCGATTCAACAAAAGTGCAAATTCCTGATTAATGATGCTTTAACAAAAAGGTGAATCCCCAAAATAGAGCAAACAAGACAAGTCAAAAACTGGTGAGTGAATTTCCACAATAAGAATCAACTTCATTCCCTGTCAACTTCTACCAATCAATCAATGCAAGACAAATACTAAAACAATGTGACATAACCAACCACCCTGCAAATATCAATTGCGCCAAAAAAGAGATTCTTGCATTGAAATCATTATTACTATCATCATTATTATTTATCAACGGATTACTATAAAGAAAGAAGAAAAACTTGAAAATATTACAACAGCAAAAGTGAGCAACAACAAAGTTGATATAATAATTGAGAAAAATTGAAGACTCACGATAAACCTTTCCTGAGGTTTTGAATGGCAGAATACAATTTCCTTCTTGAACCAACTGCATTTATCCCCATATCTTTAAGATCATCAAGGGTCAAGTATGGCAACACCTCCTCATCAACCTCATGAATTTCGAAAACCGGGGCGTATCGTCCCAACCCCAATTCAACCAGCCATTTCCTTACCCCTTCTTCCAATCCACTTCCTCTATTTCTGGAATTCGATTCCATCCCCATTTCTTGCTGCGAATTTGAAACCCTAGTTGCTCTAATTGACCTTCGATTATGAGCATGCCAAATATCTAGATTAACCCCAACATCATCCCCTGAGTTAATTGGGCTTTCAGGCCCATCAATTTCTGGGTCGAAATCTCTAAACCCTTCTTCCCCATTGTTATTATTTTTGTTGTTATCCTCATCAATATCCTCATCAAATTCATTAAAATCATGATTATTACCTCCATTTTCTCTCTCCTCCTCATCATCATCTTCTTCAACCCTCAAATTGGTTCGAACCCTCTTCGAACTGTTAGTACTAGTAGCCCTCTTAGATTTGAACTCTTTCGGAAACTTCCGGTGAGAGATTATCCCGTTATTGTTGGTTGTTGTGGTTTCCGCGGAGGAGTAATCGAAATTGCCATTAATGGGGGCAACAAGATTAGTTAACGGGCGAATCTTGGAGGATTTGTTAGGGTTATGATGTTCTCGATGTGGGTGCGAGTTGGGGTTGAGCCGCCATGGTTTGGAGGTCCGAAGAGTGGCGGGTTGGTCTCCGATGTCGCCTAATCGAACACTGGGACGCCGGTGCCGTTTTGGGGCTAGAGTTGAGCCGGGGTTTGGTTCGGTGGTCGATGAAGGTGGGACATTCTGAGGTGCTGCTGCTGATGCTCCGGGAAGAAGGGTTGTGAGTTGGGTTCCTAATCCAGGCGGCTGTAGTTCGGCCGCCATTAATGAAAGCTTGATTCGAAGGAGAGGAGAGAGAAAGAGAGAGGGAGAAGGAAGAGGAAGAGGAAGAGGAGAGAGAAAGTGTGTGAGTGAAGTGTTGGGATGAGGAGGGCTTGGATTGTCTTATTTTGACCCGAACCCAGTGGTTTATATTGTCTAGGCCCACTTTTAGGGCATCCTTTTAACTATACCCAAATTATTTTTAGGATTCGTAGAAAAACTCACTCAGGCCCTATTCTTTAAAGCTAGTATGCTCTGCTGAAATCAGTTTTATTTTGTTGAATTCTACTCTGTTGACTCAATTTGCTATACTAACACCTAATCTACTTTGTTGTACTAAAATCAGTTTTGCTCTACCCAAAAGCTCAAAATAACAAGGCCTAATTCTAGTACTTGTACTAATAATGTCAAATTATCCATTCTTATCTAGGGGTGCTAATTGAGTTTGAGAAGCTCGTGAGCAACTCGGACTCGGATCGGTCAAAACTTGGTCAAAGCTCGACTCGAGTTGGCTCAACTTGAGTTGGCTCGACTCGAATTCGACTCGACTTGAAATGTTAACAAGCACGAGTTGAGCAAGGTCTAACTCGACTCGATAAGCTCGTGAGCAACTCGATAATATATTTTATTAATATAGAATTTACAAACAAAGTTATTACCATAAACAAATTTGACAGTTAATAAGAGTTAATTTATATTATATAAAAAAAAGAGTAAATCTTTAATACTAAATAAAATAATTAAAAGAAAGTGAAAAAAAAAAAAAACAATAAAGACCTATAATTTTAGAAGGGCCAAAACTTTAACGAGCAGATCGTGAGCTACTCGACCCAACTCGAAACTTTAACGAGCACAAGTCGAGCAGGTTTTATTGTCTTGAAACTTTAACGAGCACGAGTTAAGCACATACAAAAAGTTTTTGAGTCGAATTGAGCACCCCTTAGCTCGTGATCGACTCGCTCAATTAGCACCGTATTCTTATCTATTCAAAAAATAAATAAATAAATCATCCATTCTTATTATGGATTTGAATTAGGAAGGTAAATTGATATAGAAATGATTACAATAACAAGTTGATTTGGTAAACTTATAATAAGTTGATCTCTCTTATTTAACTCGGTTTTTTCAAAGATGGCAGTAAATTATGTGACATAATTCAACTTGTTTTTATATTACTGAATTATTTAAATGAATATAACTTGCTTGTTAATTATTAATCGTGAATCCTGCTTTACGGATACTAATGATATATGAGCATAGAAAGATTGAAAGGTGTACAATTTTTTCCTTTTATAGACGCATTAGATGTTAGGTCAGTCAATTGTTTCTAAACTTGATTATGTTTGCTAAAACTCTTTATTTCTTTTAATAATGATGCATAAAATTGACTAGTAACTGGTTTATTGTATTCATGTTTTAATTTGCGGAATCAAAATGATATTTATATTTAAAAAATATGTTGTTTGCTATTTATTTATGTCGGCTTGTGATGTGGCTTCCTCCAACTATCAATGAGAATGCACACAAGTTCATGTAAAGATACATTACATGAGCGCCTACTACCACTCAAATCCTGCCAGACAACATGGAATCTCCTCAAACTCTTAGAATTTGTATTCCCATCACAGCACTACCAATGATGAGCTAAAAATTTGCTCATGGACATTTTGGGTGGGCATAAAATTTGCTCATGTATTACAATGGTGAGCAAATGAGAAAAAGTCAAAAATAGTGCTCTGGTGGGCTCCATAATTTGCAATGGTTATATTTTTTGTAATGCAAATTCTGAAATAAATATTTATTAAAAAAAAAAATTAAAATTACCAACGGTCATAAAATTTAATTCTCTATAAATAGACATGCATTTTGGTATATTTTGGTATAATTTCAGAAATACCATAAATCCTCCATATTCTTTATTTTAACGATAAAAACGACACAAATAAAAAAAAAAGTTACACAAATTTAGACTAGTTTTTATTTATTTGGAGTAATATTGTTAAAATATAAATGAAATTAATAAATAAAGAAGTGTTGTGTAGAGAGAAAGTAATGGTGAGGTATTGGAAAAGTAAGAGAGAGAGAGAGTAGTGGACAAGCATTTTTTTTGCTCACCATTGGGAGAGAAATTGTGAAAAAAATTTGCCCATCAGAAAAACAGATTTGTTGAGAGAGAAAGTGGGTAGAGAGATAGTGGGTGGGCATTTTTTTTGCTCACCATTGAGAGTGGTCTTAGGAGCACAAGATAACAAATAAGTAAGAAGCAAGTTCGTTACCATAGGTGGTTGGGAATTCGTTACAGATTCGGTCAAAATCCAGACATTCAAGTCATACAAAAAGGTTGGTTAAGACTTTTATCGAAATTGCTTATTTAATTAATGTATGTGTTTTCTCTCATGCAAAGCGTAGTTGCAATACGGTCGCTCACCTAATTGCTAAGGATGATACAGGGGAGAATCAGGAACTTATACGGTTGGATTCTTTCCCCAAAGCATTGTAACATTGGCCTCATAAGACCTTTCCACAAACTAATATATTGAGCTACCGTTGCCTTTCAAAAAAAAAAAAAAAAGTCTTCCTTCTGCAATAAGATTCTCATACACCAATCAAGTTAAGAGACCAAATGATTGAATCCCAACTCGTTTTTGGCAAGACCTTTTGAACAAGACCTTGATTCACATTATTTGATCCTTCTCCAACCTTCAAATTTAGTCGATCTAACATAAATGAACTTGTATTAGTCGATCTGAAAATCTCCAACCTTAGAATTAATATATTAAGTAAGAAAGCTTAGACATAGGAGATTAAGGTATAAAAGTTAGTGATATATTCCCTCCGTATTTTAATAAGTGTTACACTTTTACCAAATACATATATCGAGACACGACTTTAACCCTTAATTTATCTAATTATATGTTAGTAAAATCATAAGAATTTTTATAATATGAATGTATACATTACAACGATTCCAACAATATATTATACAATAACATTAGTTTTTTATATATTAGTAAATTAATCAAGTCAAAACCATTATGTGAATAGTGAAAAAAGTCAAATTGTAACACTTATTAAAACACGGAAGGAGTAGATCTTGCCTTTTTCGTTGTCAGGGTGAACCATTCTCACTTTGTTTTTTAAATCTATATTTATGCCTAGCCCAAGAGGTATTGGAGCTAGCTCTAATGTAAGGGGTTAAAATTCCTCCATGATTGAACATTACATTCACATGAGAATTATGTATTATATAAGCGATCACCCTATTTACCAAATAAGTTTAAATAAGTTTCAGTTAGGTCCAATAAGTTTAAATCAGGTCTAATAAATTTAGATAAATTCAGGTTCAATCAAGTAACAATAACACACCCTATTGATCATGATTCAAGGCAATATTAATTTAATATATTAGTATAAGTTTTAATGTACTTGTATGTTACAATTGTATGTCTTTGTGCTCACAAATTTGCTAAAAACTAAGCAATAACCAAATTTTCAGTTAGCCAAATATCACTGATATTTACTAACATATACATTAGTTAAAAAGATGGTCTTATATGAAAATTTGTAATAAAATTATCTTATATATCCTTTTAAAATATTTATTACTATTATATTGTCCTTTAAGAAAAATCTAATTTACAATACTGTTAGTTATTTTTTTATTAACAATAATTTTATTACTTCCTCGTATTTTTTCCATCTGACCTTTTTCACTATTCACACATTCCTCTTTGATTTGCTTTATACTCCATTCGTTTTTTTATTCTATTCACTTGTATTTTGTGTGGTCTCCAATATACATGCTTGACCAACTATATCTTTAATTGTGTATTAAAGTTAATTATGAAAATTTGATATTTGAAAATTAGACAATGAAACAATTCTAACAAGATCACAAATGATAATTTTAGATTTGTAATTAGTTGCAGTGGATGGACAAAGTTTTCGTAGTTTGATCTAATGAGCAATGAATGAGTAAAACAAAAAAGAACGTAGGTACTGTAGTATATTAGAAAAATTATAATCGTGTGGGATGTTAATAGATTTGTCTTGATTTACGAAATGTTTTTCAAATATCAATAATTTATAATCAATCAATAACTATATACTAAAAGATAGACCAAGAGTGACACATGTCATTACCTAGTTAAAAATTTTCCCTCTATTTTTTTTGGCAAATCTTCTTAAACAATATTCTATACATATATATATATATATATATATATATATATATATATATATATATATATATATATATATATATATATATATATATATATATACGCTAAAAGAGAGACTAGGAGTGACACATGTTTACCTGGTTAAAAAATTTCCCTCCATTTTTTTTTTGGCAAATCTTCTTAAACAATATTCTATATTTCTTTCATTTTAGTTAACATATATCTTCCATATTTTTTACATCAAAAACTTTTATATACATTTGATGTACAATGATATTATTGTACATCGAGGTAATTTTTATTGAATTTAGGGTAACATTTAGACTTTTTTGGGTAACTTTATCAATAAAGCATAAATAAGTTTTATTTATATCAGGGTAACTTATATATGTTGGGTAGCTTTCATTCATTACAAGGTAATTTTTGATCATTTTAAGGTAACTTTATAGCAAATGTACAATATTTTATTGTACATCCGATTTTTGTAAGTGTTTGTCTTTTTTCATATCATTTAAATTGTTGTATAACTATAAACCTAAAGATTGTAATTCATTATAACATTTTGTTAAATCCGTGCATCGCAAGGGATCTAAGCTAATTTTTATTAAAAACAAGTTAAAGAATTAATGGTCAAAGTTTTGTATTGGCAAGCGTAAAAACTCTAAAGGGCACAATTAATAAAAAGTGTAGAAAGTATTTTTTTAATACTTCCTCTATTTTTTTTAGTTGACACACTTTGACTTTCGCACTATTCACAAATTATAAAGCTACATTTTAGCAAAATTTTGTGATTTGTATTTACTAAAAACATTTGCAAAATTGGAATTATTTGGTTGATTTTGTAAGTTATGGTGGTTGGTGGTTAATCGGTGGTCGTTGTTGGTTGGTGTCTGGTGACCACTAGAGACTAGATAGGAAAGTAAAAATATTTGTGGAGAGTGAAAGTAGGAAGTTGAGGTAAATTTAGTTAGTTTTATAACAAGGGTAGAAACGTATTTTTAGATATAAATGTGGGCGTTACTTGGAGATTCGAGGACGAGGTTTAGCGCTCCACAACTTTTTTTTTTTTTTTTTTTTTTTAAGGAATTTTACATCAAAATTAAAAGTGACTAAAGCAAGACAATACGGTCGAAAGGCCATGAACCTCCGAGGAAGTTAGCTATACAATATTTGCATGCTTAGCTGCCTACATTAAAGTTTTGAGAAATCTTTGTTGATTCTTCTCAGCATCCTAGCTACTTATTAAGGTTGACCATTGTGTATCCTATTGGATATCAAGCAATTTCAGAATTAAAGTTTTTTTTTTATTTTTTTTTTATAATTTTTTTTAATTAACCATTTTCTTTGTCTTCACGAGAACTTGCAAATATACCCTTAACTTAGTGATTGAGCTGGCAATTGTTGTTTAGTGTACATTAAGATACATAATCGTTGAGAAAATTTAACCTTTTATGCAAGTAACTTGTGTTTATGTGCTCACGTAAGGTACAACAGGTTGCATGATGAAACATGAGTCGAGGTAAATCCAAAATATATGAACATCACACACACAACTTACTATTTAATGTAATCAAATCCACCTTGATACAGGTAGAAAAGGGGGACGTAACAACAAAAAAACAAATATAAAACTGAAAATTGTAACCTTCAACCCAAAAATAATGTGTCTTGCTTGATCTATAACTCCTGAATTTGTTACACTTGAATGATACTGTGTTTTCTTTTCTACTTCTTCCTTGTTAAATTTGTTAACCAGAGTTAATGATCCTGATTGACAAGCGTTCATCTGATAGGGGTGTATGTACATGCAGTAACACTAATACATGTACTCCTTAACTTGCCCAAATAAATTTTTACACCTATATATGTTTCCTTTTTCCTTTATTTTTTAAATCTCAAACTCGAGTTTGGAAAATCAGTCACGATTTTATATATTTATTACCAATACTCAGCAATCAGTTAGCACTTTAGTTTAATTTGTGTATATATAGCTCAATTAGTTTGCAAATATTGTATTTCTAAGTAGTTGTAAAAGGTAGTTTGGTGCTAATAGCTAAACAGTTTTTGCCGGCTAAACTTTATTTTTTTCTCATCATGGTGTCGGGTTACTCTAGAGGTAACGCCGTTAATTTTGGGACATTTTTATCAGCCCAGGGTCGCGGCGATGCATTAGGTGGAACGCGCATGTCATGTAACAAGGACTGGGTGTGGCCTCCTCTTCAAAGAATCAATAATAATTCAGAAAATATTATCAGTAGTGAGGGGACGTGCTCTTGTGCATCACAGATTTCGCGCCAGCAGCAGCAACAGCAGCAACTTCTGCATCAGCATCAGCAGATTCTCAACATCAATTCTTTGATGATGCCTGTTGGTCATTCCGAATTGCATGCATCGTTACCCATTTCCTCTACCGTATACTATCATACTGTTGCTCCCCTAATTGTAAGCGCCTTAACTCTTTGTTTACTATCTCCTTTTATTCCTCACTGCATTCACTACTTCTAACTGTATACGGCCTTAATTAAATAATTAGTACACTTTCTTGATCACATAAAAATTTATCAGTAGTCTTTTTGAGATTGATTATTGATTACGGAGTACATTTGTGTTTAACACAAAAATTTCGATGATCTCATCATATCAAACTTGCGCTTGCACGTGTTTAAACATCTATACCCCAAACCCGCCCAATAAGTCTAGAAGTGTTGGCTGTTTTTTTTTTATCATGCCTAAATTATTAAAATTGCTAGTCTAATTGAACAAGGTTATGCACCAATGATCCATGCAACTAATTTTTAGCACTTGATTTAAACCAACTTATGATGGATTATCTCTCATATTTCGTGGCGCAGGGATTATGCTCCCTAGGCCATGCGTGCAAGCCATACTGTTCATGTTACAAGTTAGAACTACTGCACAATATTTGTTACCTTGAATTATTGTAGTTGATCATAACATAAACAATAAAAAAAAAACTATTTATAATTTTTGTAATCAAGAATAGTATGTCCCAAATTTGTTAATTAAATAAATAAAAAAAAAAAGGGCATTTTTGTCGCTGATAGTTGTTTCATTCAGTTTATTATTGTCAATGCTGTGAATTTCAGAACCTTTTTTTAGAACCTTAGCATTCATAACAAACTTGATGAATACACGTACATACAGGTAAACAATACAAGGGCTTTGAGGTTCCTCTTCGGCAAGGAGCTTACACACAGTGATGCCTTGAAGAAAAACAAAATTATCATTCCTAGGGTCAGCTAAACCTTCTAACTATAATTATTGTTGGTCCAGATTTATGATTTACACCATTAAAATCGATTTCTTTCCCCTAATATATAGTCTTATATGATTCCAAAACAGAGGGATGCTGAAACTCATTTGCCTTATTTAAGCTCGAGAAATGGTATGCGACTATATATGGAAGATACAGAAACTAAAGAAATTTGGGGCTTCAGATTCAAGTATGCTTTATTTCCCTTTCACGGTGTATAAAGATAGGTTCATGTATGTAGGATTGTTCCTTCAAAATAAAAAAATTGTTTGTAGGATTGTACATGTACTACGATATAATGAATTGAGTAATATGCTCACTTTGTTTCATCCCCTTTTATGGAGCAGATACCGTATTACAAACAAATCCAAAGTCCATTCCCTAGAAGGAACTAGTAAGGGCCTTCTTCAACATTTCGGAAGTATTCTTACTTGTGACACTTTTTAATGCACAAACAAATTCGATTATTGTTTAAGTCAATTAAGTGTATGCATTGAGAAGATTTTGCATATTGTAGGACATTTTGTTCAAGTCCATGATTTGAAAGCAGGGGACTATATTGGCATTTACGTAGATGAAGAAAGAAGAAGATACGTAAGCTGGTCTAGATTTCTTATTTGTTAGAACAAATTATCATAATACATAGTGTGATTAAATCAGTGCAATTATATATATAATACTCCTGATGAGCAGATGATCGGAGCATCAAAGGAAGCCGAACAACTTAATATTGGAGAGTCTTCGGTTAATACTAATACTAATGCGAATAATTACGGCTGCTTGGTTTCCAACTTGGGTATCACAGACAGTTCCAACAGCTACATGTACCTGGACAATCTTTCAGACTTTTCTGTAGTAGATGATATGGAAGTGGAAGCGAGACCAAGCACGCCCTATCCCTACGGCAATGCTACATTGACTGATGGCCAAGAATCATGTGAACTTGAAAGGCTTACCCCATTGCAGACCTTCGAGCTCTCTGATTTGCCCATGGATCATGTTTCATGGACATGATACCATCTAAAAACTAATTGTTCTATAAGCGTTGTAATAAAATCGCGGTAGACTATCAGTCTAAACTCTATAGCATTAATGGTCATAGAGATCAAAACTTATCCTCCTTACATACATGGAGATGTTGTCCAAATACAGTTTGTTGGTGCAACTTTAGAAGTTTAAACCTTTTTTAAATTAATTATACTGATCAATATATAACACATAAGAAGTTGAATAATTAAGTCCATAACATACATGATCTAAATTAAAAGACAATATGGGACTGGTTTAATTAAGCATTCCATTTATTTATATCCACAATCCGACGACATATATAACATACAATCATACATGCACCAACTCTGCCCCCATTCCACAGAAAATAAGTGAATGAGGGGGGTTGATAAACAAGACATAATACATCAAATTAAATTGTATATTCCCTGTCTTCTAGAAGAGCAAGCCAAGGTGAGGGAAGTGCAGATACCGCCTGAGCACTGCTTCCATACAAAGGGATGGACTGATATTGACTTGCTATCCTTGAGCATTCTGAAACATCAGTCGTAGCATACGAACTCTGTCACACATACACATACACACGCAGAAAAATTTATTAAGTGGAAAGCTTCGCCTTTAATAAGCATCATTGAATCAACTAGTCAGCAAACTAGGATAAAAAACTGAGGTAATCTCACATAGTAATAACAGTACACTACAAAAAAATGTCCATATAAAACGGAATTCTAGCGACGGAATTCAATCCGTTTCTAAATTAGAGACAGAATTAAAAAAATCCGTCTCTAAATTAATTTAGAAACGGAATTGAAAAATCCGTTTCTGAATTAGAGACAGAATTAAAAAATCCGTCTCTAAATTAGAAACGGAATTGAAAATCCGTTTCTAAATTAGAAACGGATTTTTTTCCGTTGCAAAATTAGAAACGGATTTTTTTCCGTTGCTAAATTTAGAGACGGATTTTTTTTTTCCGTTGCTAAATTAGAGACGGATTTTTTTTTTCCGTTGTTGATATGAGCGACGGATTTTTAATTCCGTTTCTAAATTATTTTCAAAACGAATTATGTAAAATATTACTTTAGCGACGAATTATGTAAACTAAAATCCGTCTCTAAATTAGAGACGGATTTGAAAATCCGTCTCTAAATTAGAGACGGATTTGAAAATCCGTCTCTAATTTTTCTTTCACTTATTATCAATTATGTGCATAGAAGTAAACAAATAATATTTGGTATAATTGGTAAGAGTTTCACTATGTGACTATGAGGTCACGGGTCCGACTCCTACCTATTGCGATTCTTGAGATTGGGGATTTAAGGAGTCTTACATGCAAAGCCGATTCGGGTTGACCTGAGTGAGGTCGAACCGAATAGCATCTACATATGGACACAAAATAATTTTTCCGTTGTTAAATTTAGAGACGGATTTTTTTTCCATTGCTAAAACCAGCGACAGATAAAAAAATCTGTTGCTAAAACCAGCGACGGAAATAAAAATCCGTTGCTAAAACCAGCAACAGAAATAAAAATCCGTTGCTAAACCAGCGACGGAAATAAAAATCTGTTGCTAAGTTCAGCAACGGAAAACAAATAAAACGTCGCTAGTCTCATTTAGCGACAACGTTTTACCAACGGAGTAATTCCGTTTCAAAATCTGTCGCTACCTATATTTAGCGACAGAAAAGTACAAACTAGCAACGAATTTGACCTGTTGCTAAATGTCTATTTTTTTGTAGTGGTAGTAGTACATACCTCTAGATGTGTCACAATCGATTCTAAGGCAAGATAATTGACATCAAATGTGGGATCAACCAAAGCAATCTCTGTCATTAGGGACTACATGGAAACACATACAAATGAGAATTAGAGTGAATACTGATCGATTTATCAGGTCATATTCTGTTAATCTAACGAAAAAGGACAAACGATTACAGTACTTAGTATGAAGCTGAAGAAAAGAATAAAACCAAAGGAAACTAAAAGACATCAATGAATAATATGTTTTCCTCGTTTTGCATGACTTTGTCAGTATTTACCTTGACCTGATCTTGTAATGTGTGAATGTAGTCTATTATGTTGTCTAGTGTTGGGATTTTTCCTGCTATCTGTAAAAATGCTTAATGTTAAGTTTTGAAACAACGAAAACAAAAACATTAATTAAGTTAATACATAGAGAAGTTTGCAACTTGGTAGCTGAATACAACGCACCTTGTCACAACCAGGAACAATAGATTGCAAGAGCTTCATCTTTTCACTGATTTTTTGTCTTCTTACCTGAAAGAAATGAAGTGTATTGCATAAGAAATGTTTCATTATTTGTTCAAAGTAATGTTTACTATAATAATATATAGTACTTTGTAATAATAATAAAAACATAATCCGAAGACATACTCTTTCAGCAAGACTGTGACTGCCTATGGCTTGACCCCTCTTGGCCCTCACATACACACAGCCATCTTTACAACCTGAAGCATCCTCTTTATTATCACAAATTGTTTTTTCCTCACCTTTCTTGCAAATGTTTTGTGTTGTATTATTCTTCTTCTCTAAGACATTGTCTTTCTTTTTGTCAGTCCTCCGACTTCTCTGTCTCCCTTTCGTATTCTGTCTTGTTCCCTATATATACAAGCAATGAGCATTTAGTACATATATATAGTATGTAGAATGCTACATTTATCAGATAATATCAAATTCGAGCATTCAGTACGTTGCATTGAGAAAAGGTTTTCCTAGGTTATGTTACAACAAAAGTTTTAAATAGTAGCTAGGTATTATGCATGTAAAAATTGTAATTGTAATACTCCGTAATGTTTTTGTGTTACCTCAGGATGGATAGTACTACTCTTGGTATTTTCTGGTACAGCTGTGAGCTCATTAACATCAGTGCCCTGATAATATTGCTGATGACTATCATAATACTGAGAAAAATCCTCAAAAGTACTGAAGTTATCACAAATCCATGAATAATTATGATTGATGTTATGTGGCATGGCAGTCAAGTTACTAGTACACGATGAGCCTCCAGTATCGTAGTTGCTTGCAGGGTGATGAGTAGACTGGAAATGAGGATGTTGTTGTCCATCATCCACCACACATAAAAATGAAGAGGGTTGCTGGTACCATGTAGCTGACATTTTGAGTTTATACTAAATTTCAATATAAATGACTAGCTTGCATTGCTTGGTGCTTGATCAACAAGGCATATATATAGTACTTCATAGGTAGCAGAAAAGTAACAGAGCTGTAAATATATATTGTAACACAACAGTATTGAAAGCAAAGGGAATTTACAAAACTACCAATAATCCTAGTGGTACATTTAAGGCTGTCATTGTCAAAAAAATATTTTGCATCTTGAGTGGTCACTGTTTTGAGCAGAACTGTAACTGCATATATATGCCCAGGAGAATGAACACAATTAACCTCCATTCCCTGTATGGTTGGTTTTCATGTGCGGCTGATTTCCTATATATGCAACACTAATAGTGTAATCACCATTTAAGTGGTGCGTTCTTCTCAAAACTTCTTGGATAAACAACGGGTTTTGGAATCTGATTCTTAAGATCATGTAAAATTAAATAAATAGGATTGGATGGGATTGGTTAAAATTTAATTCAATTGGCTATGTATGCTACATATGTTATACATACATACATACAGTGTGATACATATAATATTAGAGGCGAAGTCAAACTTAATTGTTGAGGGGACAGATGTCAACTAGTTTTAACATATTATCCTTTTATTAATGGACAATTGGGCTTTTGGGTACTAAAGCCCCTTCAAAGCCTTGCCCTGTATAGTCCAGTTTTAAAATATAACTTACCTATAGATTGCAAGTCCAATGGACTATCTATCTATTGTCAATTGATTTTATTATAAAGGAACCTTACGTCATGTTAAACTTAATTATATGTGGTCACACTCTCTCCCGGTGTGATTATCCAGTGAAGATATATACTACGTATGTCGTATACATTCCATGGAGAGGAGAAAAAGGAAGAGGATAAAGGAGGAGGATGGGGGGTACTTGAATGCTAGTTGCAGTGCATCCTCTAGAACAAAGGTGGAGTTCAAAGATGAGTTAGATAGTTAGGGACCAGCTAGCATATATAACAGAACATGAAAACGATGCACTAGTACTACTAAAGCCAGAAAACCGTAGTCAAAAGAGCATCTACATACATACATTAACATATATCGGTTGTTTAAGTAGTCGGCGCCCATGTTTGTACCACGTGGTTTTGTTATCAAAATGCCAGCAACTTTGCATGTAACTCTCATTTTTAGTTTTTGTTCTTTCTGAGTTCGATTACTGAAGCCGACATCAAACGGTTATTATTATTACTCCATATCATTTATCAATATCTATATGGACTATGTATGTTGTAAAATTTATATGCTCATACCTTGTATTGTATGTATCATTTGAGTCGATATGGATTATATGGTATTCAAGGACTTAATGTTGACCATTCTTTTGCATGCTTCTTAGGAATGGAGAGAAGATATTTGAAGGGGGTGAAAACTGAAAACTGGCCTTAGAATACTTCACTAAAGTCCGGCTCTATAGTGGTCCTAACTTTATCATCAATTCATTAGCTTCTGATTTTGTTATGTCATGCTAATAAAACTTTACCTTCGTGTTTATGTAAGTACTAATTGACTTTGTTATTGGGCGTTTTGCTCCTCCTTAACCTAAGTGATATTAGAATTGATAGTAGAATCGTATTGGTTGTTTTCATTGTTTAGTACTTAATAATAAATGTCGTTTATGTTATCATTAACATTAGTTGTTGTTCACCTCATCAAAGTATTGCTTCATAAATCACATCTCATATCAAAGTTTCTTCTCAAGGGCCTTAAGTTTAGGCATTTTGTTGTTCAAATTGTCATATCCACTCGAGATGAAGCTTATTGATTCACACCTTTTCTTATAGCTTGGTTAACTCCAAATGACAAGAACAAGGCCTAATATACAGAGTATACAACTTTTTTAAAAAAAAAAATTAAATTCACTAGTATAAGTTGTTATAAGAAATCATTAATTTTTACTGAAAACTTTGTACAAGAAGGATTGTTTGCAAGAATGTTTCTGTCCCATATATCTATTATCTCTTTGCAAACCAAGTAAAACTAGTTATTACCAAGTTTAACTATGCTAAGCTAATCTCTATATCCTTCAAGGTTAGTGAACTCTCTCTTCTTCCCACTTCAAAGGAGCTAACCCGCTTACCTTAATTGGACGGATCCATACAAAATTTTGCTCAAATAGGACAATTCTTCTCACCTATCTTATAAAACCTAGACAACATAGTGGTTACGACTTACTAGTATATTTTGTCTAATAAAACTAGTACCACTGTACCAGTAATGTTTTGTTTGGGTCTCAAAAGGCCTGAAAGATAACCATTGACCAAGACAAGCATAAGCATAGGCCCAAAATCAAGAATCTTACGGAAGGATGAGAAAACCCAGAAACCTGCTACTCTTGAAGCCTTCTCTATATGCTAATGCCGCCCAGAAAATGAAGTGAATATTGCAAAATCAACAATAAAAACTTTCAAATTAAGAAGAAAAGGGGAGGAATTGTGATGTGAAAAATCTGAAAATGGCAATGGCAGCTGCAATAGGAATTGGATTGGGTTACAGTAAACGACCCTTTGCAATTTGTCCTCCTTTCATCTATTGTGTTGCCAAGGTTAACTAATCTTCCTTATTTGCTTTTTTTCTTTCAATTTTGTCTCTTTTACTTTCATTTCCACGTTCATTTGATTCAATTTTGATTTGGGTTTTCTGGGTTTTAGCAGTTTCCTCGCATTACTTTTGTTTCTGCTGTTGAATCTCCCAAAGCAGATGATGCTCATCCAACCCTTCCTAAATCTATCCCTAATTCACCAGGTTTTAATTTTGATTAAATTTGATTTCTTGTTGTTGTTGTTGTTGTTTATTGAGTTTTTGGCTTTGAAGGTATAGTTAATGAAGTTGGTGGTATTCAATGTAAAACTCGAGAGTGGAAGACTTTGAGTTCCAAACAACTTGGCATCACTAATTCTATGATTGATAAACGTACTCAATATGTTCTTAAAGCCCTCAAGAACAAGGGTTTGTCTTTCTCTTTGCTTTTTTAAAACTGTCATTCAATTCCTTTCCATAAATGTATTTTGTAGGATCAATTTTATCTTTGTACTCCTGTATGTTCGCAATTTATGACTTAGAGAGGCTTTTCTGTTTCTGTTTTCATAAACTTATCTCACAGGATACCAGGTTTACCTTGTTGGAGGGTGCGTGCGCGACCTCATCTTGAAGAGAATTCCCAAGGATTTTGATATCATCACTTCAGCTGAGCTCAAGGAGGTTTGTCTATTGCCAACACAACTTTCTCGTCACTCCTTTTAAATTTTTAATCTATATTTGTTCTATTAAGACATTCAAATCGACCAAGTTTTTGGTGAAGTGGAATGAGAGTTGTTATGTTAGGATAAGGCAGTGTTTTGATTGAACATTCTTTACTTGGATTAAAGAATACTATTGTGTGATATCGTATGGGATTGATAAGATGGTGCAATGGAATGAGGAATGTTTATGTTAGGATAAGGATGTGTTATTGTGTTTTGAATTGAACGTTCCTTACTTGGATATAAGAACCCTATACTACTATAAAATGAGTGTTCTATGTTTGGATAAGGTAGCCCATTTGCTCCCCATGGAAAGAAAGCGGTTGATTTCTTGCCAAAGTGATCTTTTTTTTGGTTCTGTGGTCAGTGAATGGCCTGTACATATCCTTAATTAAGATGTACATGACTATGGTGGCCTCTGATTTTACTGTTTCTGTATTACTTTCAGGTTGTTCGAAGCTTTCCTCGGTGTGAAATAGTTGGAAGGCGATTTCCTATTTGTCATGTGCATGTAGCGGATTCTATTATTGAGGTTTGCAATCCTGATTGCATGAAATTAGAGTGACATCCCTAAATTGAAAGGAAAAAAAAAAGAGCAGAGAGTGAGAGTTATATTTATGTCAGTTTTCTTCAGTCGGTAACTTTTCTCTGTCAACATCTCAATGTTCCAACTTGAGGCATTTTGTTGTCAGAACAGGTGTCAAGCTTTAGCACTGTTGCAAATAAGCCAAGGAAGAATTCGTATCATCTTTTCAGAAGGCCTCGAGGATGTGATGAGCGCGATTATATTCGCTGGAGAAATTGTATTCAGCGAGACTTTACAATTAACGGGTATTTACATGACTTTCATAAGTCAGATATTTCAGATTGCATGTTCTGGCTTAACTAATCTGGTTGAATTTGAATGATCCTATTATAATCTTACGATTGTCATTTGCCTCTCTCATCAATCCATTCTCCGAAGTCATTTTTTTTTCTTAAACTTTCCCATCCTTTTTTCCTTCGTGATTTTTGCAGGCTGATGTTTGATCCTTACTCAAAGCTAGTATATGACTATATTGGCGGAATTGAAGATATTAAAAAATCTAGGGTTTGTTTCTTTCTCTTGTTGTTATCACCCATTGTGGTTACCAAATGCTTATTTTTTTTTCCCCTTTTACTCATGTAGGTGCGGACAGTAATCCCGGCATTTTCTTCTTTCACGGAAGATTGTGGTAATCATAATAATTTTCTCTCATTGTTCTGTCTTTGATATAACTCCCATGCTGGAAGTTTGAAAATCAAACATATAATAGATTTGGAACTTTTTATCCATATAATCTGGGATACCAATACCATTACATCTTTGTCTGGTACTTCATCTTACAGAGACATTCTGATTTTGCAGCTCGAATTTTACGCGCTTTTAGAATTGCGGCACGCTTAGAGTTTAAATTTACAAAAGAACTCGCACTTTCTTTGAAAGAATTATCTTACTCGTTGCTAAGGCTTGACAAGGTATCTATACCTTTAAGTTCTCTTTATTAATTGTCTTTCTTGCTATTCACACATAGAGTCTCACAGAATGCTGCAGGGAAGGATCCTTATGGAGCTGAATTATATGCTGGCTTATGGATCTGCTGAAGCTTCTTTAAGGTTACTATGGAAGTATGGCCTTCTAGAGATACTCTTACCTTTACAGGTATGGAATCTTTATATGTTTTTCCTATTAGGACAATTGCCTGACTTCTAATTGT